CCGGGTTCCGAAGGGACCGTGAGGGCAGCGACGGGTGCCACCTCTCCGCTTCCCTCTGCAGAGCTCTCGCCCACACAAGCCAGCGAAGGACTGACCAGCAGGACCCTCACAGCCCTGGTACAGGATGGGGAAAGTAAGCTGCGCGCCGTCGCTTGCGGGGCCCCTCCTGGCTGAGGGCTGGTGGGGAGCAGCATCCCCCACCTGTCACCCACCGCCCCTCCGTGAAACACCCCGACTCTCCAGCTCCAAGAGGCAGACCCCCAGGGACCCCATCCTTGTGCCAGCCACAGCCAAACCCTATCCCAGAGGTTCACCGAGCTCCCATCAGCCGTATTGCCCTAAAACATCCCCCTTTCCCCACCGATTCTCGCCCGGTGTCTTTGCCGTCGCGGGCAGGGACAGCTCCAAGCTCGGTGGCGTGGTGGTGCCGTGGCACGTGCGGTGACCTCCTGGGGAAGGCAATGTCCTTCTCACTGCGTGCCGCCCCCCTCCAGGCGACGGCAGCATCCGTCTGGTGAGCGGGACCGACACCTGCCAAGGCCGGGTGGAGATCTTCTACCGCGGGAACTGGGGCACCGTCTGTGACGACGACTGGGGCCTGAGCGATGCCAGCGTGGTGTGCAAGCAGGTGGGCTGTGGCCAAGCCCTGGATTACAAGAGCAACGCCTATTTCGGCTATGGCACGGGGCGTATCCTCCTGGACAATGTCAACTGCGATGGCAGCGAGCCCTTCCTTCTACAGCCTCGGCTGGGGCATCCATAACTGTGGCCACCACGAAGATGCTGGGGTCATCTGCACAGGTATCGGGGCAGAGCATCACCTTCAGGGCTGCTTGCTGGAGGGGAAAATCCAGGGACATCCTGATCTCCAAGGAGAAACGGCCTGAGAGGATGCTGAAGTGCTCAAGGCCAGGCAGGGAGCCGGGCTGTGTGCTGCGGGAGCATCCTTCTTCCTTATCAGCCGTCATCCTGGCACTCCGGAGCAGGCTGTGACACCACGCCGAGAGCCTGGGACAGGGCCCGAGCAGCAATTTGCAAGGGAAATTCATCTGCCAGTCTGCCATTTCCCTGCTCTGCCGGCTGGAAAACAAGCGGCCCATGGCCGGGATGAGCGGGC